ACTAATCCCTAAATAAGGTTGCCAGTGTCGGAGTGATAGAGGTTAACAGGTACTAATGAATTTGCAAGAAATGTAAGATGTTTATTTTATTGGTTATATATAACCAATAAATAATAAGTACCTAACTATTTGCAAAATAAAGTTTAATTCTTTAGATAAAATAAAACGTTTTATTTTATCTTCAATGAATGCATTCCACGAAGTAAGGGTTTCAACAATCAAACATTTAATTCTTTAATTCCGGGAATCTACGACAGTAATTGACTAGATAATTACCTTCTAAACTTATTCCACAGAAAATGTGATAGTAGGTTTTTCCATTTTGTAGGAAGGTCCAAGTGGCGTATTCAAAATTCTTAACAGTTCACTAAAAGTAGGTACTTCAGTTGCAAGGTGCAGTTTATTGTGTATACTAGTGTTATGGAAAATTTGGAAGTGCCGTGTAAACGCCGCAAAATTGGTCCTTTAACAGTTAATGAAAAAACATTAATATTTAATTGTTTTAAATCATTTACAGACAAACGTTTATGTGAAAGTGTTGATGAGACCGTTGAGTTAGTTAGCAGTACACTTGGTGTTGGGAAATCTACGATTTACAGTTATTAAAGAAGAGAAATGTGGTAGTTTTCAAATGCCACGTAATGCTCCAGGGAAACCAAAATTTCAAATAGAATATCATTTTAAAAAAGGCTTCGACGGAAAGTGCATGAATTCTTCTTTAGACAAGAATTTCCAACATTACAGATAAGGATTACCCAGAAATGAGTCGAAGTACGTTATGGAAACTTTTAAAAGAAATAGGCTTCCGCTGGAAAAAGAATCCCAGAAAGTCTATTTTATTAGAAAGAAGCGATATTGTCATATGGAGAAGACATTTGCTAAGAACCATAAAGGAAATGAGAAATCAAAAAAGAAAAATATTTTATCTTGATGAAACATGGATCAACGAGGGTCATACACCAAATAAATTTTGGCAGGATGAAACTGTTACAAGTCAAAGGCACGCTTTTGTAAATAACTTATCTACTGGTTTAAACCCACCATCAGGAAAGAGACGCAGGCTGATAATAGTACACATTGGCAGTTCAGACGGTTTTGTTGAAGATGGTTTATTAACTTTTGAATCAACTCGTACCGGTGACTACCATGAAGACATGAACGCTGATGTCTTTCAAGAATGGTTCGAACAAATAATAGATCTTCTTCCTAAGAACTGTGTAATAGTAATGGATAATGCAAGTTATCACTCCAGACTTATAGAAGGACTGCCCACAACCAAGTGGTTAAAAAAAGACTTGCAGAATTGGCTGAGTGCAAAAAATATTACGTACCATCCCGGATCTATAAGAAAGGAACTTTATTCGTTGTGTGCCCTTCATAAAGAAAAATTTAAAAAATACGAAATTGATGAAATTGCCAAAAATCGTGGAATGACAGTACTTAGATCCCCACCATATCATTGTGAATTAAACTTGATTGAACTGGTATGAGCACAGATAAAGAGTGAAGTTTCAAGAAAAAATACCACTTTTAAAATTCATGATGTTAAACAGTTGTTTTTGGAGGCCGTAAATAATGTAAAACCTGAAAACTGGGAAAAGGCAGTAAATTACACTATTAAAGAAGAGGAAAAAATGTGGAAGCTGGACAATATTACTGATAAAATGATCCAGCCAGTTATTATAAATCTTGGTTCTGAAAGTTCATCTTCTGAATCTGATTTGGATTTGTAACAAGTAGCTGTAAGTTTTATATTAATATTTTTATTCATCTATTTAACATACCTTAGACGGTTTTAAAAACTCTTTTTCTCTTTTGTAATTTTTAAAAATTAAAAAAAATGTGAATTTTTTAAAACCCTTTTTAATGTAGGCCAGTCAGTTCTAATATAGTGTGTGATAAAAGAGGTCACTTTTGTTTACATACACATAACACTTTATAACACTGAAATAATTCATTTATTTTTTACAATTATTCAAAGTAATTTTTCAATTAATCTTGAGCACGCCCATGGAGTGGTCGGAGGTACCAGTTAAAATTATACTAATTACTCTCTCGTTCATAAAAATAAACTATAGGATCCAAAATAATACCTAACCTAATCCTAATCACCGTAAAAACCTAATAACCGGTTTTTACTTAAAAAATATAAAACCGGTTATAACCGAAAAAAAAAACAACCGATTAAACCGGTTATTACGAAGTAAAAAAACCGATTTTCAGTTAAAACCGGTAGGATATCCCATCCCTGGTTTAAACCTTTAAGTGGCACAGTGCAGTAAAATAGTGGGAGAGTCTACAGAAGATCCTCGTCGTTCTTAAACGTTTATCCCGCTACAAACCAACCAACTTCCAGGGAAAACTACGACCGTTCAACCCCAGAAGTCAAAAAGCCAGTGTTTGAAGTGTAGAAATCAATTTATATGACGAAAGACGATAAAAAGAAAGCGAAAGAAGAAAAGAAACGTCATTCGAAAAGAAATGCACCCAAGCATCATCATTTATCTGTAAGCAAATTTAATCTTTTTTCTAATCATAATTTAATTCCTATGGTTAACTTGACGAAGTTATCAAAGAAATAACATAAACATCCGGCCTAGCCGCAGAAGAAATGAAAGTAATAGACGAACTTCTACAAGAAGAAAACCAAAAGATTAAGTCAGCCAACAAAATCACTATACCAACAGACACATAGATAGTACCCAGCATTTACAGAAGAAAACCCAATACTCGTAATTCCAATCAGCGAAAGATCATTGAACTGTTACAACAACCAAATCATATATTCAACTTGGTAAATTACAATCCTGAAAAACCTATAACAGAACAGTGCTTCCTAACAAAGAAAATAGTGCACGTCCAACTAGATAAAAACGACCTAAAAAACGATATTTTTTAACTTCTTTAAGAACTACGTCGACAAAAAAAGAAATACGCCATCCTATTCGAAACTGATGAGCTCTACCACTCTGTCTGTAACATACTTAGAGAAACATTCAAATCAGAAAACGCTATTACTTGCCAACGTTGAAAAAGGATATAGAAGAATATATTAATCTCTGCGGTACTTGTGAAACAAACAAATACGACAGCAATCCTGAAAAACCGAAGTTCATGTTAACCTCAACACCAACGAAACCACTGGAAATTGTTCACATAGACACATTTCACACATTCAAGCAACAGGACAAAAATTCCTTACCATCATCGACGCTTTTTTAAAATACGGTCAAGCCTACCCAATAGAGGGATCAAACGCGATCAACGTCTTAAACGCATTCCTGCTATTCATCACCCACCATGGACTACCACATATGATAATTTCCGATAGTGGAACTAAAATTAAAAATGGACTTGTTCAAGAATTCGTGGACACTCACAAAATCTTAATCCACTACACAACACCTGATAACCCGCAATCCAATGGAATGGTCGAGCGCTTTCACTCCACAATCATCGAGCATCTTCGAATATTGAAAGAAAAAAAACACTTAACATAAAAGTCCAGATGCTATACGCCATTATGGCATACAACAACTCTATTCACTCAGCTACTAAACAAAAGACCATCAACGTCCTTGATGGTCCGATAGATGCACAAGATCCAGTCAACATTGACATTAATAGAACACTCATAAATAATTACACACAGGATCACAGATTGAAACCAAAAGATATGTATAAAGAAATAAATAAAAAATTGCAAGAGAGCAAACAGAAAAACATTGAAAAGATAAACAAAAAAGGACACTCACCGATAACATATAAACCCAGCACGAAAATCTACACTAGAAAAACAGTAAAACGAAACAAAATGCTCCCCAGATTTTCACCTAACATAGTCAAAATCAACAATCCTGTTACTGTTGATACACAAGATACTACGGTGCATAAGAAAAATATTAAACATCAACCACCAATAAAAACTAACCGCAAAAATACTTTACAGATGTATCTCAGTAACAGCCCAAGAAGTGAAAATCCAGGACCTTCGAGACAGTCCAGGGATCCTCCCAGTTAAGCTTGGAGAAGCCAGAATCCAAACTGCCACCCATGATTTTATCCACTATTTCGAATTGGAACCAATAGCACAAGAAATCGAAACATGGGCATATCAATATCAAACTACAACCACAGCTATAGAAAATAGACTAAGTCAGCCGTACTTCGACAGTCTACAGAACTTCGACAAACCATTGCAGCATCTTCTTAAAACAGCCCAAGAGAAACTCGATTTAGTTTATCCAGCAACCAATAATAGAGGTCTTATGAATGGATTAGAAAATATTATAAAATGCATCTCAGGAAACTTAGATCAAGAAGACGCAGAAAGATACGATGCCACAATTCAGTCACTTGAACTTAATCAACAAAATATTATTAACAACATTAATAACCAATTAAGCCTAAATAAGAAAATAATGAACAACTATAACGAGATAGTATCGCTACTAACCCACAATCAAGAGATAATAGCCGCAGAAACCAACAAAATCCGAACAGACTTAAACCAATTCGTCTTTGATTTTAACCATTACATGCGAGTTCGAAACGCTTTAAACCAGATGAATTTACCCATACAAACCATTATACAAATATTAGATGATCTATAGACAGCAATCACATTCGCAAAAAGTAAAACTCTTCATAATAGACTTATAAAACCAGACGAAATAAGATAGACTATCCAGAAAATGCTAGAACATCGTCCAGCTTTTCAGCTACCATACTAGCTTGAATTAGTAAATTTAATTTACTCTTTGTATTTTGAAAACGATTTCCGAAGTGGAAATTGAAACGTCAATAAACGTATTTTTATCTTTAATTGTGGCTTATTCCCAGTTAAATAGTAATTAATCCATAGATGGTGTCCAGTATATAATTGAAAATGATTATAACTGGTCACGTCAGGGGTCGTCTGAACTTTTGTCAAGCATTTTGGACATTGAGACTTAAGCAAAATATGTTACCACACTCACGTTTTTTACGTTTATTTACAGACAAAAAAAGGATATTGACAGAATGCGAATTGGAGGCTATTTTGTCAGATAGCGATTTTTTCCTCAGTGAAGATAGCGATAATGATTTTAGTGAAAAAGAGAATGTTTCTGAAAACCTCTCAACTGTTTTTCATGAAAACTAAACTAATGCCCAAAATCATTTAGAAAAATGATTCAGATTCGGAGTGGTATTTTGACGATGATACTCCTTTACTGCAGCGTTGGGAGAACTCCAGGAAACTACTCCACTTTACTCCAGGAAACAAACAATTAGATGATGTTAAGAATAGGCGAAAAAAAAATATCTTTGAGACTTAAGATTCCAACGCCGCTGATCTATGGACAGCTAATAAAGATCACGAATTCTGGTCACCATTGGATTATTTTTCTGAGTATTTCCCTGAGCATTTTTGGGAAAATTTGTCTTTAACAAGTAACATACGAGCTATGCAAGCAAATGAAAAGAAAAATCTAAGATCAACTCCGGAGCAATTCAAGAAACTAACAGGTATTCATACTTAAATAGGAATTTTTGGACAACCGCGATTACGCCTCTATTTCATAAAAGAAATTTAAATTCCTATTATTACTCAGGTTCCCCGAGATAGAATCTACAAGTTACGAAATTTTTTACATGTTGTAGATAACTGTGCAGTTTCAGAGGACACCAAAAAGGCAAATAAACTTTGGAAAGTTCAGCCTATTCTTGATGTTGTACGAAATAAATGTATCACTCTTCAAAGATCTCGCGAGTTGTCCATCGACGAACAAATGATTCCATTCACCGGCACCACTAGTCTACGACAGTATGTCAAGAACAGACCTAATCCTGTAGGTTTGAAGAATTTTGTGCTTGCTTCAAAAACAGGGCTAGTCTTGGATTTCTTTATTTATCAAGGTGCAAACACTTGGCCTGATGCTGCTCCTGACAAATCCTTGGACATTCCTCTTTCGTGGAAAAAATTGTCGGTGAACTTGTGTCCAGGAACAACAATTTACTTTGATAGATATTTCACCTCCATTAATTTACTCGATTATTTATTAGAAAAAGGATTACTTTTCATTGGTACCATTCAGAATAATCGAATTCCACAAGTACTTAGGGGCAAAATAAAAAAAGATTCTATTTTATTAAAAGAAGGCCGAGGGTCCCACGAAGAATGGGTACGCGGTGATAGAAAAGTATCCATTTTAAAATGGATGGACAATAGACCTGTGACAATGGCTTCTACATCTGCAGGTTCTTTGCCATTGGCTGACATAAGAACATAAGATAAAAAAAAATCAAAGTACATTATGGTGCCTTGCCCAAATACAATTGTTAAATACAACCAGTCAATGGGAGGTGTGGATTTGTGTGACAGATTTATTTCATATTATAGAATCTGTATGAGCACTAAAAATGGCCTGTACGTGTCTTTTGGCACTTTGTTGATCTTGCAATGACCAATTCATGGATAGAGTATCGTCAGGATCGTGCAGCATTTGGCGATAAGAGATCAAGGGTAATGGATTTACTGGAATTTAAGCTGTATGTTGGAAGGTCACTAGCTTTAGGTGGTAAGCCTACAAGCGGGAGACAAGCTAGTGCGTCTATTCCAAGAGAACCGGAGTCATCTAAAAATGAAGAGCCCATAACTCCCTAGTAAAAACCAGTAATGACCATTTGTCAGTATGCTCTGTCAGCAATAAAAATTCTTACATGCGTTGCCGAAACCCTGGATGCGCTAAGAAGAAGAGATTCTTTTGTACAAAATGCAAAATGTACTTGTGTATTTCTCCTGAACGAGAATGTTTTTTTTTAGTTTCATACTTAAATTGTAGGAAAGTTAGTCCTGATGTCCATTATGCTGGACCTATCATATTAGTACGCCCGCTGGGTACGCCCGCCACATTCAATAAAAATCATAGCTATTCCTGTCTAGACTTGTCAAAAAATATAGCAAACGGTTTTAAAAAACGAAGATTTTACTATGGCACAATCATTATTCATTAGAAACGAAGCAAATGCTTTTTCTTCTATCTTCTGCTTGAAAGGATTTGTTTTGCTTTCACTTTATTTGCATTATACTATCTAGAGACAAGCTAATCTAGAGATAAGCTATTTTGGACATGTGCTTCGAAGAAATGGTCTTGAAAAACTTACCATCCAGGGAAAAGTAGAAGGCAAAAGAAGTAGAGGTAGATCTCCTACACGATACACGACCATATTGTTGCTACCATTGGCGCTCCATTGTCAGAATGTGCTAGATTGGCAGAAGATAGAAAAACGTGGAGGAACATTGGAAAAATTACCTAACAGCTTCATGATATCACGATACCTACATCAGGTTAACGACTAAGAAGAAGAATCTAGAGACAAAAGTCTGAAAAATAACAATATGCCTAATCAAATAAAATATGTATTGCCTTCAAAAGCCAACGATCTCAGCCCCCTATAAAAACGGTTATTACCTAAAGATTAATTACTACTCCTGTAAGCGACAGTTTAATTTCATGTCGTGTAGATTTAGAGATAAACTTAAGTATCAAGTTTTAGTAAATGGAAAAGAAATCAATATACTTGTAGGGATTACTTTTAACCTACATCACATACACTTAATACATGGTGAAACTACTTTTATCCGATTTAAGTCATACAAAAATTACTTGTCACAATTTAAAACTTTTAAATAATATCAATGGGTTTGTAACAAAACATCGTAAAAGACAAAACGGACATTTTTCAGAAGACGAATTTTTCTTCTACCAACTTTTTGGGTTATACAGTTAAAATTTTAAACTATGATAAATTGGTACTACTTCAAAAAATTATACATGACAAAAAAACGTACAGTCCGAAAAATGAAATATTACCCATGAACAATCATATCAATAACTTATTTTGTATAATTTGCCTTCTTTTTATATAAATACCAAACATTTGTTATAGAAAAAAAACAGCAAATACAAAATAAGTGAATTGATGTGTAAATGTCTTGTAAATTGTCTGTGTAAATTTTAGTTGAAACTTGTCGCTTACGATGAAGATACGATAGTATAAAGATATCATATCTATATCTATAATAAATATTCATAAATAACGTGAGTATCTTAACAGAAAAAATATTATTAATAACAAAAATCGACAACGAGAAATAAAATTTAGTAGGTATTAATTATCTGTAACTCTGTCCTATCTGTATCTTCTTCATCAATTTCTGCCAATGTATCATGAATTTTATATTTCTTACTTAATTGTTCAGATTCCTGACAAACTGCCGTGGTATCACATATTTCCGATGATATCTATGGCGATTTTTGATGATCTGCGGTAATAAAATATTAAGTAAAGTAAACGGTAATGATTTTTTTATCACTTATAAAGTGACCGCATTAGATGAAAATAGAACTTTTATTTTAAGGTTAGCTATCTTAATAAATTGTGAGATACTTTAGCTAATTGCAGAAAATTACTGTCACCTAGTTTTTTTTGGCCACACGTATTCTACTTTATTGAACTGTCTCTAAACTAAAATGAAAACTACCATAAGGTGTAAGTTTAATAGATATTGAAAATAAACATAAATATGTAATTATTTGTCGTTTTAATTTACATGGGATAGGCAAAATAAACTCATCTGCTGTATCAAAATACTAATATTTGATTGTGATGAAATTTTGTTCTTTTTCTAAAACTGCAGTTCTGAGTCGATTTAATTGAAACTTTGTATCCACCAGTGGTTTTCTGTACTGTCTTGGAAAATAAATTGTTTCATTGTTTGCAAAAGATTTCCAAGATTTAAAATCAGAATGCTTCATAATTTAAATTTCAAAAGCTTTATTATTAACTCATACACTTTCGTATTATTGTAGGCCATCCAGAAGGTGCTTAAACAGTGCGACGAGGAAACACCTTTCGATTGTAACGTGAACTGTATCTATAGGCATGTATGTGTATCCAGGAAAAAGAAAAACAATTTTAACCTTACGATGTTTTTTAAATTTTTAAGGAACCTGTGAAGCATTCCTAGCGTAGACCTGTTATTACTCTGCCCTGCACAACTATCACAGAAGAGAGATACAGTTTTGACATTCTTTGTTTTGTCTACTTCTTCTAAGTAGTTATAAATTATAAAGGATATCTCATTGGTACCCTTTACCACAAAACTTGTAGAACGCATTTCTGGTTCCGCTTTCACAAATAGTTTCGATAAAAAATTAAAATTTTCGTAAATAGTTTCTATAAAGTATATGATTACAATGTGAAGTATTTAATAGTTTCTGGAGGTCGAAAAAGCACAAACAAAACTTTCATAATCTTGGCCAGTTTCTGTTCTAAAATAAAAAGCATTTTGCATTATTTTTTGTCCTCTAAATGATTTTGGAAGGATAGTTCTTGGTTCTCAGTCGATTTTAACATTTGTTCTTTTTCTATACTCACAGAGTGCACGTTTATCTTTCTTCGAAAGGTAAAAACCGATAACTGAACACCTTAAATGATAAGTGATGGATTCGACCGTTACTTGATGAAAATTCATTTTATATAACAATAAAACAATGAAAAATTGTGTTTTTGTTTCAAGTGTTGAACACTTCCACAAAATTTATTATATTATCTTATCACCACAGCTTTTCACTACACAGACCAACTGGCTCAAATCTGTGTCGTTTTAACTGACAAGTACCACGTATTAAAAACCGAGCAGGGAGACATGTAGCTCGAGACATTAAAGTATTAAATTTTATCCAATATCATCGATCTAAAGTCACAACATAATTTAAATTTGGAAGGATATAAACCCATATATGGAAGTCACAGCCACAACTTTATGGTTACTTTCAACTACATAAGGCACTAAGGATAATCTGATTAGATCGAAAACGTTATGCAACTATATAAATTTTGACGACACATTTAAAAGTTTTAACTATATGTTTTTTATACCTAAATACAATTGTGAAGTGCTTTAACTTCTGTATGTTTTTTCAAACAATGGTGTACAGCCAACTACTGGGATTTTCCCATTAATTTTTTTTGTTTTTCTTAAGTTGGTCATTCAGAATTATGTCTGTATTTTTTAATTTGTTAATTTCCATAGATTCTAATACCAATAGCTTAAGGCCTTTATTTTGGATGTGAAGAATTTGAAATTCGTCATTA